AAAAATTGGCTAGTTCAGCTCTCAACTTACCCAGTTGCACAAGTGTTTTACCACGTACTTTGGTGTATAGCAGAAGTGATTTATGTATTCTCCCTATGTATCACACAGAACACTAAGAAGACATGTACTTGAAAGTTAAAGTTTAAGGACTTCCAGACAAAATGGAGGTGTAGGTAGATACACTGTTCCTCCTTGCACAACTGAAAGGACAACAAATTTAAAAACAAAAAATAACCAGAATTCCCCAAAAATGGAACTGTATGAAAGTCTGACAACCAAGGAGTTAAAGAAGAAATATTCATCCAGACCTGTAGAAGGGGTGGAGATGGGCAGCTGGGGTGGAGAGGACTTGCAGCAAGGCAGCAGCTGGGGGATCAGGGCAGGCAAGGCAGCAGTTGGCTGACTGTCCAGTACCACATTTTGGTGTCGATAAACTGGGAAAAACAACTGGGGAATGAAACCCATGAAACCCAGGGTTCTAGCGCAGGGAAATACAGCCTCAACACCTCTGACTGTAAAACTCTGTGGGGATTGAGGTGGTGGTTATGTAATTCCCAGGCTCACAGGGGAATCGGTTGGAGAGACCCACAGGGTCCTAGAACATATACAAAACCATCCACCCAGAAATCAACACCAAAAGTGCCCAGTTTGCTGCTTGTGGGTAGCAGAGAAAGTACCTGAAAGCTGGCTGAGAGCTGAGCAAGCCGCATTACTTCCTCTCAAACCCCTTCCCCAAATACAGCACTGAAACTCAGGGATGTGGGGTGCCCCACCCTGGTGAATTTCTAAGGCTCCGCCCCTTATTAAGTAATGGTGCACTGAGAAAAAAAATATATATATAGCCCAAATGAAATAACAGATCAAAACCTCAGAAAAAATACAACTAAGTGATGAAGAGATAGCCAACCTATCAGATGCACAGTTCAAAACACTGGTAATCGGGATGCTCACAAAAGTGGTTAAATATGGACACAAAATAAGAGGAAAAAGTGAAGGCTATACAAAGTGAAATAAAGAAAAATACACAGGGAACCAACACTGAATGGAAGAAAACTGGGACTCAAAACAATGATCTGGACCAGAAGGAAGAAATAAACATTCAACTAGAACAGAATGAAGAAACAAGAATTCAAAGAAATGAGGAGTGGCTTAGGAACCTAGGGACAACTTTAAACATTTCAACATCCAAATCATAGGGGTGCCTGAAGGAAAAGAAGAAGAGCAAGAAATTTAAAACATAATGAAGGAGAACTTCCCTAATCTGGCAAAGGAAATACACTTCTAGGAAGTCCAGGAATCTTAGAGTCTCAAAGAAGTTGGATCCAAGGAAGCGCACACCAAGGCACATCATAATTACATTACCCAAGATGAAAGACAAAGAGAGAATCAAGAGCAGCAAGAGAAAAGGAGAGAGTCACCTACAAAGGAGTTTCCATTAGACTATCAGCTGATTTTTCAAAAGAAACCTTGCAGGCAAGAAGGGGCTGAAAAGAAATATTCAAAGTCATGAAAGGCAAGGACCTACATCCAAGAATACTCTATGCAGCAAAGCTATGATTTGGATGGAAATACAGATAAAGTGCTTCCCAGATAAGGTCAAGTTAAAGGGACCTTATTATTACCAAGCCCTTATTATACGAAATGTTAAAGGGACTTATCTAAGAAAAAGAAGATAAAAAATACAAACAGTAAAATGACAACAAACTCGCAATTATCAACAACTGCACCAAAAAACAAAAATGGAAACTACAAAGTCAAACTAAGCAAAGAACTACAACAGGAACAGATTCACAGAAATGGAGATCACATGGAGGGTTATCAGTGGGGAGGGGGTGAAGGGAGAATGAGGGAAAAGGTAGAGGGAATAAGAAGCGTAAATGGTAGGTACAAAATAGACCAGGGGAAGTTAAAAATAGGATGGGAAATGAAGAAGCCAAAGAACTTATATGTATGACCCATGGACATGAACTAAGGTGTGGGAATGATGGTGGGAGGGAGGTACAGAGCAGAGGGAAATAAAAGGGGGGAAATGGCACAACTGTAATAGCATAATCAATAAAACACATTAAAAAAAGAGAGTTAAACTTTAATAAAATTAATAATCTCTACTGCTTCACCAAAGACATTCTATAAATGTCTTATTTTTAATTGGCATTTTCAATAGTGAATGTGTAATATTCATAACATTATTACTACTACAGTAATTGTTTTCCCACTATTGCTTTTACATAGTCAGTGCAAATGTTAACACAGTAAGAAAACAAATAATGTCTTAGTTTTAATATTAGTTTGGGAATTGCAGACTGACATCCTGAAAACATCTCAGGGACCCCCAGGTGTCTGCAGACTATACCTTGAGATTAATTCTCCCTATCTTTGCTAGAATGTGAAATATAAATCCTATAATTCTAGGGTGTTTCCTAAAGGAACTTGGCTTTCTCAGAGATAACCACTGTTGTCATTTCTTATGTATTTTCCAGTGATATTTTATGGATTCGCAAGCATTATATACACAACTATATTCCTTTATTCTTTAATACATATGGTAGTATGGTAAATAAAGTATAGACTGCATTGTGCTTTTTAAAGGGTAAACCTTTCCTTTTGGAATAATTTTATTTATTTATTTATTAAAAGATTTTATTCATTTATCTTTAGAGGGGAAGGGAAGGAGCGAGGGAGGGAAATATCAATGTATGGTTGCTTCTTGTGTGTCCCCCACTGGGAACTGGCCTGCAACCCAGGCATGTGCCCTGACTGGGAATTGAATCCCGATCCCTTAGTTCGCACACTCACGCTCAATACATTGAGCTACACCAGCCAGGGCTCCTTTTGGAATAATTAGATTTACTGAAATGTTTCAGAGATTCTTGTTACTCTTTTCTTCTACTAATTCCAACAACTTAAATAACCATAGTAGCATGTCAAAACTAAGAAATTAACATTGCTACAGTACTATTAACTAAATTATAGAACATAGATTCCACTAGTTATGTCCTTTCAGTTCTAGGGTCCAATTCAGGATACCACATCACATTTAGTATAGTGCTTTTTTATACTTAAGATGTTATTTTGAGGGTTGTCTCATATCAGTTAATATGCAGTTGCCTCGTTCTCTGGAAGGACTGTAGAATGACTCCTTGAAAGTCGAATTTCAGGGCCAATAATTACCAAATTCCTTTCCCTCAAAGAAATTACAATAGCCTTCTAATTAGTTCCCATGTGGTTTGAGTGTTACAAAATTTATTTGAAGTTTCAAGATTAAGATTGGGGACTGAATTAAGGTGATAAATGTAAAATAGCCAACAAATTTTGCACACTTCAAAATAATTATTTGTACTGACACAAATACCCACAACATTGCATGATTTACACTACACCAATAATTCATTGTACCCTGACTCACATAAGTAGTTGGTTCCTCTTGGGACCACTAGGGGGCTCTGCTGGAAGGGTTTTTTTAAATAATTTATTTCAGCCCATCTAGGGAAAGGTTTCCAGATGATGATTTAGAATTCTAAAGTCTTATAACTTGAAAGAGATAATCTAATCCAGCTTTCTTATTTTGCAGATGAGAAAACCAAGGTTGGCCAAGAGAGCTGGCATGGAGAGGTGGAATCAAAAATCTCCTCCTGGTTCCAGTGGCAAGAGTTCAAGAAATTCTTTTTTGCCATGTGCCTCCACTGAATGATTCACTCAACTCCCTGTGGCTATTTTCATTCTTGTTGCCACAATCTTAGTAATTTTTGCTAAGACAGTGTATTTGTGATATTTTTCTACAGGATACTGTATTCATCGGTTAGGTGAAAGAAGTACAATGAAATATAAACTTCTAAATAACCTCTACTACTTATTCTAAATGTTCTATTCAAAGTACCTTTCAGCACCATTGCAGTGGTAGCTGCATACTCTAGCTACCACTTTCACATTGTCTTTCGAACTTGCCTTCCACTTAAAACATTTTACTCTTATCTTTACTCATTTACTCATTCAATATTTATTGAGTGCCTGCTAGTGCCAGAAACTGTTATAGGCCGTAGGCTTAAGGCAGTAAAGCTGCCCTTCTCCCCCCAAAGCGTGTGTTTTTCACTTTCACATGCCTTAGTTCAGTGTTCCTTATAGTGTGGTCCCTGAACCAACAGCAAGAGAAACAGCATCTGGGAACTTGTTACAAATGCAAATTATTAGGCCCATCCTTCCCTCACTCTTGGGATGGGGCCCAACAATACGTTAGTTTGTTTGTTATTTATAACAAGGTCTCAATGGAGTCCATGTACAGTGAAGTTTAAACACTATGATTTTAGCTCCACAGCTCGGTATTATCTAAATAGGTCAAAGATCAACAGCGCTGCTTTTAAAACCACCTCAGGCATCTCCATGGAGTTCCCGTCTCAATACACCTACACCTGATAGGACCCAACAATGACCATTCAATGAGTTGTAGTACCTGGCATGAGAGTAATAATAGTGTCACTGTAATGGCTTCCGAACAAAAACCGACCGCGGTGGATTTTCCAGGCCTATACCCGCAGCGAACGGGCCGGGCTCAGTTCTAGGACAGTGTTTTCATATGCTAAACACAGCCCAGGCCAGTAAGCCCATGGGTTTGGGGTCTGGCCGAGTGAGGGCGGTGCTCCAAGCCGAGTGGGGCCGTCTGAATCCAAATGGCTGGATTCCAGCCTTCGCTGGGACGCTAGTCTAGGACAGGACGCCCCGACCACACCGCACAGGTTAGAAGACGGGAGGAGCGAGAGACCACGGCGGAGGCCCGCTCCCGGCTAGCCAGCGCGGAAGCCGCACCCTCCAGGCCCCCGAAGCCGGCAGGGCGGAGCCACGCGGCCGCAGCTCCCGCGGAGACGCGCGGCGCCGCGCGAGGCTCGCGGCTGAGGCGTCAGGGGGCTACAACGGGAGCGGCAGCGCCGCCCGTGCTGGTCGACGTGGTGCGCATGCGCGGAGCCGGCGCCATTTTGGTGGCCGGGCACTGAGGTGATTCCATACTGAAGAGAGCGCGGCGGCCGGGTGGCGGTGGCAGTGGCAGTGTTCGTGTGCTCGAGTGTGAATCGGCGAGGGAGGAGGCGGTGGAGGAAGAGGTGGCGGCGGTGGCGGTGGTCGTAGCGGTGGCGGAGGAGGCGGGTACGAATCAGCTGCGGGCGGAGACATGGCCAACATCGCGGTGCAGCGAATCAAGCGGGAGTTCAAGGAGGTGCTGAAGAGCGAGGAGGTCAGAAATGAACTCCGGGATATCCCCCACCTCAGCCCAGGGCGGGTGGGGCCCGCCAGCGGCGACTCCCAGTATTCCGGGTTAACCCCCGGGTAGTCCTCTCGAGCCGCCCTAATGTCTGTGGGGAAGCAGCAGTCCCCCGCCCCCCCTCCTTCCGCCGCCTTCCCCTCCCCTACGGGGCCCTGGGATGGACGGTCTCGCGCGCGGGTGGTGTGGAGAGGAACACGGTTTGGGGGGGCTGGAGCAGGGGAGGGCTCTTGGCGGCGGGATGTGAGTTCTAGGGAGAGCCCCGAGGCAGTGGCAACACGGCTGGGAGTGTGGCCGGGAGTGTGGCCGTGGGGTGGAGAGGCAGCAGGCCGAGCCTGAGAAAACCCGGGAAGTGGGTTGGGGGAAGGGGAAAGGTAACTGGATCCGGAGAGCCGCGGTGCTCAAAGGCCCACACTTCTGAGAATATTCTGGGTTAAACCCTGTCTGGCCTCCTCTGTCCTTTCCTTAGGGAAGGAACTAGGAGCGTTCTCAAGTCCTGACGAAAGGAAAAGGACGTTCAGAGTTACTCCCTCTTAGTTGGGTGTTGGGAGAGAAGAGCGCACATAATGGGATAGTGTCTTATTTGAGTTGGGGCGATAAGGGAATTTTCACCCGAGATAGGATATTCCATGCTGTACCACTATCTCATTTTCATTTACCCCCAACTCCTAGGCCTCTTCTGACATCTAAAGTTGGGTGTTTAATAGGCATTTAAATATTTTTAGGTAGGAAAAAATAATGGAGTGCATGAGTAACTTATTTCAAAATGTTTCAAGTCACAGAAGTTGCAGATCAGAGAGCCTTTCCTAAGACAATGCCTCTGTGACCACCGTGGCATGAAACTTCATTATGATGTGCCCTTCATAGTCAAGTTGACTTTTGCTTTTGAGAAACAGCCCTACTAAAGACATGGGATTTCACCAGATTAACAGATTCTTATACCTCCTTTTTAAGTGAGTAGGTGTATCATAACATACCTGAATTGATTAAAAATTTTTTTTGACTCAAGCTGCTCTTGAGTCTTGCAGAATTTAGATATTGTAGTGTTGCCCACATTTATTTCTATAAGATACGGAAATAATGTTCAAAATGCTCTAGTAACTTGACTCAGAACCAGGCAGGTATCAGTGCAATTTTTCATACCGAGATAAAGAATGCCAGGTTGTTTCTCCTGTTTGGATTTAACAAATAAATATTTAAAAGCAATACTGCAATGGCTGTTATTTTCAAGATGTTACATACCATTATTGAATGTATCATTGTCCTTTGTATTTTTCCCTTGTGTTGGTACTTTTTTGTTTAAGATTTCATTTACTTATTTTTAGAGAGATGGGAAGGAAGGGAGAAAGGGGAGAGAAACATAGATGTGAGAGAAAAATATTGATCCGTTGCCTCTCATATGCACCCAGATCAGGCCAGAACCCACAACCCAGGCTTTTACCCTATCGGGGAATCTGGGAATCGAATCGGCAGCCTTTTTGGTTTTCGAAGGATGCCCAGCCGAGCCACATTAGTCAGGGCTGTTATGTTGGTACTTTGAAAATTTCAATGACCTATGAAATTCAGCTTTCTAAGTATGTGATGAGTAATTGAAATGTACTCTATCTGGTAGCACTTGTGCTTTATGCTACTGAATCCATAGTGGGCGGTATGTATCTTTGCAATTAGGCGTGGAGAAAATAGTTTTAAAATATTAACAAATGACAAATACTAGCAAATTTATTAACTGTAGTAGTATATAGTAATGATCAGTTTTACAGAGCATGTGTATGAACTCTGACCTCTGTACAAGTGCCAAAATTCTGAATGGAAGGATGACTTTGTATTTTTGTAGTACAGTGTAGAAATAGTCATAAAGTTCTATACTGATACACAGTAAACCCCTGACTTTATTTTTTATTTAATATATTCCAGAATAGTTGATATATATTCATAATGAAACATTGCAGCTAATACTTTTGTCAACAGCCCAAAACATTTTTTCTATAATAAGGTTGTTCAAGCCTGAAGGTTAATAATACTTTATTTTCTGTTACTTAAAAGTGGTAAGTTGGGAATCTTGTAATTCATATGGTCTTTACATGAGATGACTTTCACCGTGATATTCTTAGAATCAGATAATTTAATTTTGGAATATAACGAATGAATAGCTTTATTTTGCACCCATATTTTATTTCATTCTCATTTTAATAGGGTTGTTTCTATAAGCAAATTATTTTCATTTCATTGAAGGACTTGTAGTACAAGTACAGTCCATGTGGGGTTTTTTTTTGTGTGTATGTGTAAATGTAAAGTCTTCAGTGGCCGATCAAGAAATCAACTTTTGCATTTTGTCACCTATGTAAATTCCCAGTTTGCCAAAGTTTAGGTTTCTTAGGGGTGGTTTTTGCTAAGAGCATACTGGTTGATTTAAGAATTTTGTTTTGGCTTTTTAAAAGTTCCTTTTTAAATACTGCTAATGTTTGCTGAATTCTGGCCATGAGAAGTTGGCCATTCTTGGAGCCTGTTGTTAATTAAAATATAACCTCCAAGGTAAAGCAAATATAAAAGGTATGGAGGAGGGCACCATTTGTATCAGAAGGGGGAAGTGTGTATTTAAATAGGTGAAAGGATTAATAAGAAATTGGTAAGATTGATTACATACTTTTGTGTAGCATAATTAGGTGTCTGGGGTACCAGGCATCAGAAGATCCCTTTTGAATTTTGAGTCATGTGAACATGTTATTTACTCAAAAAATGAGGGCATCGTCTAGGCCTTTTTTTCCTTGAGACTGTTTGGAAAGTCATCTTTTATCTGTCAGATACTAATTTTTAAATCTGAGTGAGAATTTTGAGTAATGTTTCAGAGTTGTTAGGAATGGAAAATTGCTTTAAAATACATTCTGTAGTTATTTTGTGAGTCAGATTACATAAGTTAATTGTTGATTATGAGGATTTAATAATCTATGGGTTATTATTTACTACAGTTAATCATTAACACTATTTGTAGAGTGGCTCTCAGTACCATTTATACATTTTTGCTAATTCTCAAGAACAGTTATTTGAGTTAAATTTCCTATTTCTTAGATGCGAATATTGAGATTTAGAGAAGTTAAATTATTTGTCTGCATAGAGCTTTGGGATTTGGATTTAGGTCTGCTTATGTTTATATTGTACTACAGTGTCATGACTTGACAAGGATAAAGTCATGCTTTTAATTTTTGTAAAGTAATTGATCCTGGTTTGTATTACTAGTTAAAGGATTTAAACACAACCTAATTTGTTAGTTAAAACATTAAGTGTTATCTGTAATTAACTAAAAGATTTACTTGCATTTCAGTAAGCAAAATATTTTAAAATTGGAAGCTCAGTGAAGTAAAATGCCCTCAAATCAGTGTACATACTCTTGCTTGTTCTTGTGCTTTGTGGTTCCTGCAGTTTGTTTCATACTGTAGCTACACTTTGCTAACATTTTCTGGGGTTCTTATAGGGAGTCTTTACATCTGTGGCATTAACAAATTGATTTCATGAATATTACTATTCTATCACTTTTCCTTAGGCACTTTAATGGGTTTTTGTATCTGTTGTCATCTAATGTATATTTGATCTAGCTTGATCTAGATTATTTTAGATAGCAGCACAGCCAGGCCTCCCCCTGTACCTCCCTACCCTCTCTTTCACTAGTTGAACCAATGAAAAATGTCTGTACTGCAACTATTGAGAAGCACTGCTGTAGACAATTTCAGGCTTTCTTTATAAATTAATGGTTATCTTTTTCTTTTAAACTTTCCTTTTTGATTTAAAGAAAAAGGTGAAATACTGGTAAAAAACAATTTAACCAGTATTTGTAGTTTTTGAGTAGAAAAATGGTTTCTTTCTTTCTTTTTCTTTTTTTTTTTTTTTTAAACTAGAATGGTTTGTGTGTAAGCAAAAACTGAGAAGATCTGCAGTGACTAAAAAGACTTGGGCTTAAAATTTTTAGAGATCTAGATTTTATCAGATACATAAACAGAATTTGGAAAAGCATAAAATAGCAGCTCCCAGTAACTTCAAGTTTATCTTCCTCATAAGGTAACTCAGCTCAGTCTGCTTTATTCTTGGAAGCCTGATCAGAATTCTCCACAAGATCTAGAACTTCATCATCTGGTGGCACTAGTGGTGCTTTTCCATCCACAGGTTATTTGGACAGAGCTTTAGCCAGTCTCAAACTAGTCAGACTGTCTGCCTAGTCTGGTTTAAGATGCTGGGCAGCATTTCTGTCAGCTGCTTTGTCTCAGCATGGCCAGTAATTGTGAAAGTGTTTGCTGCCATAGATTCATGAACTTTAGGGTTGTTAAAGTGGATCACCGTTCCTTGGTTTGTGAACATGTTTACCTCTTCATTACTGGAGCTATTACTTACCCCTAACTTCTTTAAGGAGTACTGAAGTTTTTAATCATCCGCTGTAGCTGTCCTGTGAACCACCTTCTTTCTCAAGCAGTTCCTTTCCCACCAGTGTGCACTTGTGCATGCAGTTTTAAAAGTTTCTCTTGATTTATGATAGTTTCTTTCATCTTATTGGAGAGGAAATAGTTTCACATGGTAGACTAGGGTTGGTGCTCAGGGCGTCTTAGGCAGACAAGCTGAGAATAAGTGCACATAAGTGTGGATGCAAGATAGCAACTTAGTTTTTGTGTTTTTAATCACTTATTTAAGTAATATGCCTTTTGGGGTTCTGGATATGTGTTGAACAAGGTAAGCTTATAGATCAGTTACAAGTTAAAACTTCAAAGCCTGTCTGAGTAATACTGTTTGGGGTGTGTTTCTTCTTTTACCTTACTTTTATAAAGACTTTCATCTCTACTGGGCATAGATTTAGATACTTCTGGGTTCCCCTAGTATGTCACTCTTTGTAAAGAATATACTTTTTTTAAAAACAGATTTTACTAGTTTTGGGAGAGGGGAAGAGAGGGGGAGGAACATCAATGTGCGGTTGCCTCTCATGCACCCTCAAC